TTTGTTTCTTTTCTCTAACTGCTTGTAGAACTTTGTTCTTCAGTTGAGTTTCTGGAATCTTAACAATTATATGCCTATGTGTAGATTTGTTTTGATCAAGGCTATTTGGAGTCCTATATGCCTCACTTATCTGTATGTCAAGTTCTCTTCCCCTGTTTGGGAAGTTTTCTGCCATCACTTCTGTGAACATTTTTTTTTTATGTCATTTGCACTGTCTTCTGTTTCTTCATTGACTCCAGTCAGTCTTATCTTATTCATCTTTGTATCGTCTAGCAGCTGCTGGATTGATTTCTCATGGTCCCTTACAATTTTAAAGCAATTTTTCTTTTCCTTGTGACTAACTGCAATCTTATCTTCCATATCTGAAATTCTGTCCTCACATTGGCTCATTCTGCTGCTTAGACTTTCAATGGAGTTTTTAATCTCCTGGAAATCTACCTGCATCTGTGTAATTCCATTTGTTTCCTATGTTGGTATTCCATTGTGTTCCTGAGCTCCTCTCTAGATTTATTAATCATGTCTTATACTATGAGCACAATCTCTGCTGTTATCTGAGTAATTATTTCTGATTTCATTTTTTCCAGATCTTCTTTTGTTGCCAGTTCAGGGAGTCCAGCTGGTTGAGTATCAGAGTGTTCCATCTAGTTTCCCTTTGGGGTTACTGTAGGTGATCTGGAAGTCTTGTTTTGAGACTTGTTTACGTATTTTCTCATTTCGACGGGGGTGAGGTTGGGGGTAGGGGTGCTGCTGGCGCCCACATGGCTCACCTCCTGTGTGCTGGCAGGGGTCTTAACTAAAATATTCTCAATATATCTTCTAAACATGGCTCAAACATAAAATTTTTGTAGCAAAAGCATTTATCGGTACATTTTAGATATACATCATGATAACATTCAGCATAAGGAATTTGTACCAGTACATGATACATCTTGCTTCTTTCTTCCCCATTCCCCCTCCCTTATGTACAAAAGCTTTGTTTCCATTGTTTCCTTAGATTTTCTCTTTTCTCCTTGTCCCTTCTTTTCATACCCCTCCCTCATTCCCCTTCTCATTTGAACATTTTCTTCCCATTTCCCAATGTCTATTATACATTTTAGTCCTTATTTTCACTTTTGGTTTCTCACACCAGAGAAACAATGTGGTATTAAACATGTGTGTCCCATTTATTTCACTTAAGAGTATGGTTTCAAGGTCCATCCTTTCAGCTATAAAATGTGACCCGTGAGCAAGTCTTTGGTTTTGTTTTTGTATGAATACTGCTTTTCTAAAAGGGGAAAACCTTAGATCTTTCAGAAACTTTAGATGTCACTTAATCTTCCTGCTAACAGCACCTTAATTCTGGCCTCCAGGTGGAGCCCGAATGATGTAACCTGGTTGCCAGCCCTCCTGATCTGGGTCCTGCTTGCTTCTCTAGACTTTATGCTCCCATTCTTCACTCCAGCCAAGTAGTCAGACTGCTTTGTGATTGTTTCCTGACTTTGTCCTGGCATGAAGTTGTTCCTGGAAGGGTACTAACTTTGTATCTTTCAATTGGACTTTCTTGAAAGAGTAATTTCATATTCAGTAACAATGTCTAGAAACCAATTTTCTATTAATATTAACTACAGACCTCTTTTTAATGCACAGTAAATGACTTTTATATGTATAATTTTCAAAACCAACCAATTATAGGGTGGCAATATTAATGGTTGGAGAATGAAAAGATCAGCAATATATTGTGTTATCAGCCTTAGAAATTCAGCCCACCAGCTTGCTAACTTCAGGTTCCTGTTCTGTAGCTAGTGTAGCATAGATGGTGTAGCCCATCATTACTTATGTAATTTTCATGTTTCTATTTTGAGTCTAGAGGCCACGCAGGAAACAGAGGTGTCAGTTCAGAATGAAATCATTCCAAATTGAGACTTTAGAAGCATGCATGTTATATCCAAACATAGGCTGGTACCAGGTGATTCTGAACATAAGATGACATTTATCTCTCAGCCTGTTTTTTTGCTGAAGCCCTGTCTCATGCCGTAGTATTATTCTTAATTTATTTATGCTCTCAACTTGGTGAGTAATAGATAGGTTACTGCTCCAACACTGCAGAACACAGCATATATAAGTGCTTTCCCTTAACATCAATGTGAAAGGGAATCTTGGAGTACAAACTACATTCAGTTAGGGAATCTTACAAGTAATATCTCTCATTATTCAACTATCTTGGTATAGTGTGTGTGTGTGTGTGTGTGTGCACACATGTGTGTGCATACAAAAATGTTAATTGAAACCAAATTTTACAGGGATGTTCCAGGTATAAACAGAGGGAGCTGATATAGGTGAAGAAGAGTGGGAAAACCCTGCTATCTGCTCCATATGACCCAGAGGTGGCCCTTGGGAAGGCTCCATGGGAAACTCTGAGGTCCTTGGACACATTGTTTTAAAACCATTGACTTGCCTTTACCAGCTTGCTCAAATTGGAATGAAATAAATTTTTAGTTGATTAGACCAAAGGAGAAACCAGAAGCTATAGTTTGGATCTAGTGTCCCTAAAGGTCCTTGTGTTAAAAGCTTGTCTTCTAGAGTGGAGCTACTTGGAGGTTGTAGAACCCTTAGGAGATGAGGCATAGTGGGAGGTCTTAGGTCACTGGGGTTGCCCTTTGACCCTTGAAGGGGATACTGGTCCCCTAGCCCATCTTTCACTTCCAGGTCATGAGGGGAAAGATTTTGCTCTACCACTCACTCTTGCTGTGATATGTTGTCCCCTGACCAGAGGCCTAAAAGCAATGTGCTTTCTTGATCATGTATAGATCCTCAAAATCTGTAAGCCAAAATAAACCTTTTCTGTTTATAAATTGATTATTTTGGGTATTTGTTATAGTGCCAGCATACTGATTAACACACCAATCTTTTTTATTTCCTAGTGTTCAGGCTCCACTACTTTAGCTCAGTTAAAAGTCTTCTTCCAAGTGACTTGAGCTATCAACATCAGACCCTGAAAGCACCCCTTGTTTCCTCTTAATTCTGTACCAGTATCTACACCCAACTTTAGCATATCAACATCTCATCAGACTTCACTACATACTGAAAACAACTTAGGAAGGATGATAGAAAAGTAAACACTTCAGTGGTGGTGAACCTATGGCTTGTGTGCCACAGCAGGCTGTTTTTATCATTGAAAGCTCTAGAAGGTTCGCCGACACCACAGAAAGATTTTCACACATTACCTTAAAGCCACTAGTCTAGGAATGCTCTTCATGGCATTATTTGTAAATGCAATAACTGAGATCCAACTTAAAACAATAGAATGACAAATAAATTGCTCTATATTCACACAATGGAATGCCTAAAAATGCCTTTAAAAAGTGCCTAAAAAAGCCAAGTCACAAAAGACATGAGAAGAACAACTGTTATATAAGTTTAAATATACAAAAAGCATGCCAATTTATTTAATTTATTTTAATAGTAATTGTATGAATATATGGCTCCCCATCCACTGTGGATGAATTTATATTTAAATTCCAAATGGTGCCCGAGGAAGGATAGAGAAGAAAGCCCTTGCTCACTGTTTTTGTAATCCCTGGAGTAGTGGGTTGTAATAGCATGACCCAAAAGGCTGCTTTAGATCCTAATCAATACTAGGAGAGGATTCAGGGTAAGGAGTAGGGGGTGGGTGGAAAATAATAAGTTGAAAGAGAAAATCAAGGGTTGGTGGAATGCAGTTAAGCACATTTTCTTCAGAGGAAACAGAGACAATATAAAAAGGAGAAGTTGCCCACTCTGCCTTTACCACTCATGGTTTTATAGCCTTATTGAGCTGTTCTCTATATACCTTCAACAATCTAATGAATCAAGATCAGCCTATTAACCCCCTTTGGCTTCAATGGCATGTTTCTTTTTTTCAGTCTTATTTCTCATTCAACATAAGCTCCTTCATCTAATTCTAGTAGCTGTCGCTCATCCAGTGGCTCGGTGTGGCAGCTCCAACATTCACCCTGATGATTGCCCCTTGGCAGAAGCCACTGGATAGTTACTGGCATAATTTAGCATTACCCACACTTCACAGATAAATTATCTGATGATCAGAGTTAAAAACAAAACAGGCTGGAGTCAGATAGGAAGAAGTAGATATGGTTACCTATATAATTTGAGGGGCACAGGTTAAGATAAAAATATGAAGTTCCTTGTTAAAAAAAAAAAAAGCAAAAAATAGTGGTAAGTTATTAAAATACAAAGCCTTTTCCTTTCTTCTGCAATATCTCCTTCAACTTGCCATGCTGTTTTTTAAATTTTATTTTTAATGTCAATGAAAGTAAAGAAAAATTAAAATTTTACATTATTGGTATGAATTTTACCATTCATCTTAATATTGTACTAAGCCAGTTTCAAATATAAATACAAGACCACTTCACTCACATGTGCAGTTACCAAAATTACACTTAGTCTACTGTAGTTCATATATACGTATATATTTCATTCTTTTCAGAACAGTCGAAACCCTGCACACAAATAACTGTTTTATTTTACTTTTGATATTTTTGTTCTAACAACAGTATCTTTGGTAATTGATGAATAAGGAAAACCTGGAAGGAAAAGGAGCTATAGATTGCCCTATCTTCCCTCTTCCTTTGATGTTATCATATTCTATGTAAGTAGTTGCCTGACACAGGAAAACAAGTAAGAATGGGTGTGATGTCTCATTATTTTTCAGCATGTCATTGCCTTCTTTCTCTGATTACAACAGATCCTGGTTCCAATTAGAAATGTGGCCTCTAGGGGTTGTCAGTGCCCTGCTTGCTCAGCCATAGACTTAACACACTTTCCTTGCTTCCACCTGGAGTCTCACTAAACTTCCACACACCATGTACACCCAGAATTCTGTGTCAGAGAGCATTGTGAATACTCTACATGAAAGA